ACTGCCCCCCCCCCCGGTCTATTTTCCTCTGTGAATATCACAGATTTGTGTTCTTCTTAATCATAGGTATGTGTTCTTCTTAGAGCCATCAGTTGCTAATTGGACACAGCCCACCTCCCTCCCGTAACCACAAGTAACATAAAAAAGCATTGTTGCCTGCCCAGGTTACAGAAATGCTGCACGGAGTTTCTGTTTGGTTGGTGTATAAGAGATGGGATGCAGCTGCGCAGCAGATGGTCTGGGTATCTGCTGCCACATATAATAATTCTTTTTTTTCCCCCAGAAAGTTCATCCTGGGTCACAGAGTTGACAGCACCACAGAGTATCGGGTTGCAACATCCCTCCCAGGATTTGGAAATCTCACCCAGGGATACAACAAATATCTCAGGCCAAACTTTGGTGGTATGTAATCATATAGACATATTTTGCAGTTATGTAGGACTCACTCAAGTAGATAAATAGGTACCACTTCAGTGGGAAGGTAACAGTGTTCGTTGCACCTTGGTGTTTAGTCATGCCGGCCACATGACCACGGAAGTGTCTTCGGACAGTGCAGGTTCTTCGGCTTTGAAACGCAACCCTAGAATCGGATTCAACTGGCTTTCAAGCAGGGGAACCTTTACCTTTACCTTAGGACTCACTAAAAAAGGCAATCATCCATTCAAAGGAAGAAACAGTTTATTTGCCCTCATAATTTATAGCTAGTGTATCTGCCCATTTGAGATTAGATTCGGTTTCGGTCAGCCCTGGTTCAAAACTTTTTCTTTCTTTCTCTTAAGTTACAATGAGATGACCCAATGGTCTTGGACAACAACCAGGTCCAAATAACTGAAATGCACTTGGGCCTGCCTCTTTTATCTAAACTGCCTCACAGGGTAGTTGTGAGCATATGAATGGAAAGAATCATGTACACTGCCCTGAATTCCTTAAGGGTGGAAGAAAGATGAAGTAATAATACTTCAGCAAGGCTTGTTATTACCCCATAAAGACTGAGGTACCATCTTGAAAGTCACATGTAAATTTTGCCATTGTGAGGGGATTTTGACATGAGGGACTGTACCACATTCTCTTTCTGAATGTGGAAATGGGCTCTCCATTTAAGAAGAATGCAGTGGTTCCCCGTGGGCTGAATGGTGAATATGAAGGCGTCTCAACACTGATGATGGCTTGACATAACTATTTAATATGTGAGGGGGGAGGGTTCCAATCTGAGGGCAGATTCTTACCTAAGATTTTTTCTTGTTAGAATTCAAAAAGTGTACTGAATAATTATGTTGTCAGCTGTGATCTGAGGTTATGGCTGATGTATCTCAGTCACCGCCAACTACCGCAGAAAGCATGTGAGAACACGGTAACCCTGGCCAAACAAATACACACAAAGTCTACTATGGACAAAAGCATCACAGTAACTTTACTTTTAGTCATCTGGGAGCAGATGTGCATGTGTTTTCTATCTAGCAATGTGAGAGAAATTATGATGAGATAGGATAGGATTGTCAGCTCCACTGGGAGAAATTTGGGAGTGGGGACAGTCTCACCAGGTCACTCACTCACTCACTCACTCACTCACTCACACACACACACACACAGAGAGAGAGAGAGAAAGAGAGAGAGAGAGAGAGAGAGAGAGAGAGAGCTGCCTTA